CCCTTTGGTCGCTTTAAAAAAAAAAAACCGGTGGGGCTCCCCCGGGGCCCTTTACTTAGGGGTTTTTTCCGGAATTTGGGGGGTTTGGTCCCCCAACCCTTCCCAAAAGGGAATTTGGGGGTCCCCTTGGAAGGGGAATGGCCCCCCCCCGGGTGGTTTTCCCGGTTTTTTTTTGAGAAAAGGCCCCCCGGGGGGGGGGGGGGATTGGGGGGGCCCGTTTGGGAAAACCCCCCCCCCTTTTTTTTTTTTTTCCAACCAAAGGATTTTGGGTTGTTTTGGTAAAGGGTTTGGGGTTTTTTGGGTGTTTCCCCCTTGGCCCCCCCGTTTCCCTGGCCCCCTTGGGGCTGGGGGTAGGGGGGGAGGGTTTTTTTTCCTACCCGGTTTTTTTCCAGGTCAAAAGGGGTTTTCCCGATTTGGGGGAAATCGGGTTTCGTTGGAAAGGGTTTTTTTCCCTTTTGCCCCCCCCCCCCCCCCCCCCCCCCCGCTCTTGTAAATCAGACACCAGTGTACTCCTTGTTCAGACGTAGGAAGCGCGTTCTGATTCGCGTTTCTGATTCGGGCGAATCAACGTACGCCGCTGCGGGCACTCTGTTGTTCGGATGCAACATTTTGTAAGGTTGATCAAGTCAAAACCCGTCTGGGCGTCTGGGGAAAGCAGGGCGGAAATTTGAGATGGAAAAGAGTTTTGGGCAGGAAAACACGTAACAAATCTATCTAGTAGTACGGGAGAGGCCTGGGGTATTCGTACTGAGTGTTCCTTGCTAAGGGTAGGTGCTGTTGCGGCTGCGTTAGTTAGTCGTACTCCATGGTGTTTGGAATCCTACGGAAGCACCTCAAGTCGGAGGGAGCACAGCAGCAGCAGCGGCAACCACGCGCAGTCTGCCCAAGAGTTTGTTCATCTTCTGCCGACTGTCACCCACATGATGGCCGTCTGCATTGATTCGATGAGTGATGCGAACAGGAGTCAGGCCGTCCTGTGTTTCGTTACACATCTACGAGCGAGCAGGGATGCAGAATGCGTTTTGGCATCAATGCCAAGCAGTAGAGGTTGTTCGGCTGTACCTTTCTCGGCTTGTACCGGGCTGAACATCATGGGAGGAGCGCGCGAGGGGGGGGGGGGGGGGGTGCAAGAGTAAGCATAACACAAGCTTCGATAACTTTTGTACTATTCTCGGGAGAGAGGGGGGGAGGATTACATGTCTCTGTTGAGACACATTATTTCGTTTGTGGGGTGGTTGGTGGGTGCAGTCCGAGAAAAGTTAAAGTTGGCCGAAGCAGTCGAAGCACTGATCAATTCGACAAGGAATCAAACGTGTTTCGGGATTGGGCACGAAGGGGAAGAAATCGATCTTTGGTTTGCTTTGTGTGTTTGCGTACGTACGGAGTATCTAGACTATCGTGTTGCCATGGTGGTGAACGCCATTTTTTTCTCGAATTTCGTCTTCCTGTGGAAGGAAGGTTGGACGGGAGGTTTCATGTATGTTCGCTTCTTTTACCGCTCGTTCGTCGGCATGTCTCAGTTGTTGTCATCGTTAGATATTATTGCGGGGGAAGCAAAGATTGCTATATATCTAGCTAGCCATCTACGTCTACACCGTGTACGCTTGCCAGGCTCTCCAGCTCTAACAATATCACTTGTTTTTAGTTTTTTTTCTCAGATACCCTGAGAACAACGCAACATCGGAGGGTGCCGCCGCCTAGAACCAACTATTTTGCCCCCCGGGAAATAGTCCTCCTGCCAAACGGACATGCCGTTGTCCGTTCCCTGAAGTGGCAGTGACCGTCCACGGTAATACTGATGATACAAGGGGCACTTCCGCTCCTTCAGAGATTGATTTTGGAGTTTAAGGACTTTCTTGAGGATTATCCTTCTATTTCGAAATGTAACAACCCACCCATCCCATATTGGGGTGTAAGAAGTAGGCTGAAGGCGGGAAGGGGTATCGATAGCGTAGATTGCACATACGGAAAACTTTTTTTCAGCCAGTCATCACCTCTTTGGCAAAGCAGGAAGGACGATTGGCCATCGGTGATCGGTCCTCCAGTGAGAGCAATGCTTCTCCGACCTCGCGAGCACGCGTGATCAATGGTCCATCACAAACTAAGGCGTGCAATAAACACCGAGTGAGTACCCCCCCCCCCCTCCAATCCCACACTAATCCTTGTCTGTCTATTAGTGCCTGCCCCCCCCTTGGTTCCCTAGTCTATAGAATATTAAACTAAAGAACACAAGCAAAATCCCGGTGTAAAACAACATTGAATTTGCTAGTAGGAGGGGCGCCTCTGTTGTAGTTTATTTCACGAGGACGAAGCGTTTTCGCAATGTTTGGGGGTGCCAACGTCGTGAAGACCTATTCTCTCTCCAGAGAGAGCATAAAGCAGAAGAACTCACGCACGTCCGTGTTGTGGTGGTCGTGCGTTCCACCGCATGGATGTAATGTATGGATGCATCAGATATCACCGTTCGTTACCATCGTATCGCCGACAGGCAGGAGCTGCCGTGCGAGATTCAGCGCTCGCTACAATATGAAGTCTGACTGCTGTGTATGTATGTATGTAGCACGCAACAGTAGTAGTAGTACAAAATTGCGGCGATCGACGCCGCTCGCATAAAAAAAAGTGTGCAAAAAGATGGGGATGCAGCATTGTTATTGGGTAGACATGCCAGTTGGCTTGTGACCACGGAAGGCGTCCACGTCAGTTGGACCAGTCAGTACGGACATTCAGAGGGTACGGAGCTGAGACCGGAACGGTATTCTAATGGGAAGACAACAACAACAACAGCCAAATATATCCCTCGGGACAGCAGACAGATGAGTGGGGTGTTTCTTTCCGGCGGGCGCTCGCTTTCCTTTTTTCGATCAGCAAGAAACATATACCCAGGATATGGCTTCCGCCTGTGCACAGATGAAATCTCGATCCCTTCTTCCCGTCCGTATCAATCCGTTGGACCGACTTAGCTCGCGGCCCAATAAAGGAAGTCAACTGAAGCATCACTGAACTAACACTTGTCTGTGTCTGTGCTATAATAGAAAGAAGGGAACCGAGACACACACTACGGCACACACTTCGCCGCCAGAAGCTGGCAAACAGTTCTGTCTGTCTGTCTGTCTGTCTGTCTGTCTTTGAGAGAGCTCCAACTCGCGAGAAAAATGTCGGACGAATCAAGGACGAATGTCTGTCTGTTCGTTTTGATTTGTTTTTGGGAGTCCGCAGCAGCAGCAATCGATAGGAGAGACCACACCTGGTGCAAGATACGAACCTGTAACGGCCAGAAGCACCGCGAGGTTACCCGTCAAACGAGACGTGATCGGACGCGGTGTTCTACCTCTTCCCTGTGGGTGTCGTGCGGTCGGCTCTGTCGACATCACTCCTCTCCCCCTGAACCACAAGACCTCCTTTCCCACCCAGGACACACCTCCTCCTGCGCTGCGATCTTGAGGTTGATCTTTCGAGCCGAACAGAACAAGGCGACGCGAGTGTTCCTACTGTACGGAGAGACCTGTAAGCATGAAACTCTTCTACATGCTGCTGTCTGGCGTGCTGGCCTTCCTCGCCGCCTGCTGCGCGGTCCAAGCTCGTCCCTTCCCCGACGAGAAGACCTGGGTCAAGCACTGCGACGAGATCCCGGATGAGGCCACCCTGACCGCTGGAGGAACCCTCACGTTCCTCGGCACCATCGAGTGCGATACGACGAAGGTGAGAAAAAGACGCACTTCTTCTTTGAACCCCTCGGCAGAGGTCATCATTCTCAACAGCTGCATGCAGCAGCAGCAGTGCTTTGGAGCAGTTTGTGGGGCAGAACGAAGAAGAAGAAGCGTGAGTGTTGTGCAGGTTTGGGTCTTGGCAGGAGGAGGAGGAGGAGCCGTTGGCCTGCTGCATGATCCCCGTTTGTTGCCAGTTCGTATAGGCACTACTGTAGCAGCGCCGTTGCGCGGAGCCCGCGAGACCAAGATCCTGCTTCCTGCCCGAGTGTGAAGGTAGGATCCGGCTTCTTTGGCTCGAAACTCGACCGCGGGTTGGCTGCGATACCGTTTCGAAAATTGTGAGATCGTACTTCTCTGCTGCTGAGCGCACGAGGGCTCGCGCTTCTACAGCTAGCTGTGTATTTCCTCGGATCCGCTAACTTTTCCATCATCCGATGTGTGTGTAGCCACCACGGATCTACCCGGCCTACCACTGCTGCGTGTGTGTGCGCGCGCGCACCTTGTACGGAAGACTACTGTATGTTTGTATGCAGCAGAAACCACTACTCACTGCTGTCCAATGAGGTTGTCGGGTTGGTTGCCTTTGGATCCTGGTCGACTGTGTGGGTATATCTCGAATGGGTAGTCTTTCTGTGCGTGTATTTATATTGAATGGTGATTGCTATCGGGCCGCTACTTGTGTACTTCGAAGTATATTTTTCTCTTGGAAGAAGTGTCAGGATCCTCTTAGGTTCGCCTCACACGCAAAATGCGCACGATCAACGTCTTCTTCAGGAATTACTCAATATTGTTGCGTGGACAAAAAATAACTGCATCGATCGGAAGGACAACAGTAGACTACTATTTATTGCGTTGTGCTTCGCACTCTCGCGACCATGTCTGGAGGGTAAAATATAAATACAACCCGGATATAAATGTACCCGTCATCATTGTTTGTGCACAGATAATCGAAATAACCGGTAACACGGTCATCCGCTCTCACGAGTCGCTGGACACCGCGGGGATCGCACTGCTTGTACACCCCGGAGCGGAGCTGACGATCAGAGCACCGACCATCAACATGAAAAAGGGCAAGGCAAGTGCACATCAGGGTGTAAAATAAGTCTGCCCACCATTGCAGCGGTACTGGAGAATACCCGCCCCATCCTATGCAACGTATGATATACACCTGCCAGGTCACCTGGAGAAGAAGCCTATACCCGTTTGTCCCGTAAAATATTGCGGTAAAATAATAATCTTCCTACATAATTTGCATGTTTGAGAAAGATCATCGCCGCGTGTGTGCAATACATTGGGGTGGAAGTCTCTCTCTTTCTCTCTCTGTGTGTCTCCCACCTCCTGTTGTTGTGGTCGGCGATAACTGGAGGAGTAAATCATGCTGACCCCCCCCTCCGTGCGCTACACCCGTTGATTACGAACGAACCCGCTTTGACAGAGCATGCAAGACCAACAACCCATCCTACGTGTGCTAGGAAGCGTGGACTTCCAGGTCACCAGCTGGGTGAAGGAGCACCTTGAGGGAGCTCCGGTGAGCACACAGAGCGACGGTCGTACATCCCAATCAATATTGGGCGTCATGGCACGGTGCCTTGAACTGCCCCCCTCCTTCAAGAAGTAAGATGGTTTAGGGCGCTTAAAAATTGAAATTTCTCTCAACCGTAAAATAAACTGGATGTCTATCATGTAGCCCCCCAGCTGGAACTGGCCCCGTGAGGTTATTTTTGTGCAATGAGCTACATGTTGTTTTCGAGACGCACACCGTGCAAACTTCATTTTCTGTACCGCCCCTACATGAGAAACACCGCCACCACCACTCATATCAAAAGCAACAAGATAGAACAACAACAACGTGAGAAACAATATTGACAACAACAGGAACAACAACAATTGGCTTCTGCTCCTCCTGCTGGCTTGGAAAGCGTTAATCAAGAGAAAGAGAACAACGGAAAGCAACAACAACCTGCTACTGTGGTCGGACAAGAGAGTTCCACACAGCTCAAAGGTGATTGATTCTGAAGGAAGGGGTCAAATACCATTACATGCTACTGCTGCTTTATCACGTGCCCAGGTGGACGACCATGGAATCATCTCGGTTGAAGGTGAAGGAATGGTGCGTTCCGACAAGGCCATCCTCTTCACCGCGAGGTCCGTCATCGTCGCCGATCCTGCCGCGGCCAACAAGGTACTACGTTATTTATGTCAGTTATGTTTTGTTTGGCAGAAACCTTTTTTTCCGGAGCAAGTTCATAGGGGCAGGTAGGTCCTAATTTTTTACCCCTGCAGCATATTACCATGACGACCGGCGTTCCACTTTTTTCGAAGTAGTGACATTCCTCCCCGACATGCTCCAATAATTGTTTCGAGGAAAACCAGAGCCAGCTTCAAACGGAGAGTTTCTCACCTTCGCCGCACCGGACCAGACGCTCCCAGCACAAGGAGAGTTTGAATGAAACTTTGTCCCTGTTGGTACCGCTGATGCAGTACGAAGAAGGCACTGACTGGCCTCCCCACGCCCTCTCTTTCTCTCTTTCGCTCTTTCTCTCCGTCTGCCACTTCTCCCGCACGCACCGCGCACACCCAAACAACAACAGAAAGAGGCTGACCCTGCAGAGACTTCGATGCCTGCAGACCCGCACCTGCTCCGTAAGCTGGCCGCCATGCATGCCAAGAGCAACATTGCAAGCGACTCCGCCGCCCCCACTGTCGAGGACCTTTCTCCGCAGACCTCCGACCCTACTCCTCCTGCTGCTGCTGCCGCCACCCAACAACTTGCCGACGACAAGTCGTCTTCCTCCGCCACGTCCCCTAACCGCCCGCCATTCTCCACTGCCGCCGGTCCTGACGACGGCGACAAGAGCACTGCCGCCGCTGCTGCCAACGACGTTCCCGCACCTACTTCCCCCGCCGCTCCCTCCACGCCTTCTTCTGCCGCCAACCCTAACGCTGCGGCTGGGGCTGGCGAGAACGTCGGAAACAGCCCCGCCGCGGGTGCGTCCACGGCCGACTCCATGACGACCAGGGCCCGTGAGGGTCGAGACCGCGGCAGCACCGTCAGCGAGAACGGTAAGACCGGCAGCGGGGGCACGGGCCCTTCGCCGATTCCCGAGTCCAACTCGTGGACTGTCCGCAAGAAGGAGGCATCGAAGCAGCAGCATCAACAAGGTCAGCGCGGCGGCAAGAGCAACAACAACGGCAGCAGCAGCAACAACAACAACAACAACAACAACAACAACAACAACAACAACAACGGCAACGGCAACGGCAACGGCAACGGCAACGGCAACGGCAACAACGGCAACCGCAGCTCGTACACCCCCCCGGACCAGCAGTTTCACCCCGGGTTCATCCTGAAGGTTGGGGAGGTGCTGATGGGGAAGCTCCTCAACCCTGCCAAGACTTCCATGTTGTACGCCAGCCCCATCGACGGCTCCGTCATCCACGCGACGGCGAACGGTAAAGCTCCTCGCGACAAAAACGGCAACATGACCGGCCAGGTGCCGCACGAGAAGCACGTGCTGCTCAAGGCCAACGCGCGGAAGATGTTAAACGCCCAGGGGCTTCGATCCGAGATCTTTGAGGCAAACCTGGAGAAGAGGAAGGCGGCGCTCGAGGGACGGGAACTCCCCAAGAAGGGGAAGGTGGCCGCCCTCATGGGCTTCCTGCCCTTGGGGAAGAACGGTTTCCGTAGGAGGAGGGCGCGAGAGCACGCGGAAGCTCACCTGGGGGAGGCGACGCTGTCGTTGACCACAAAGGGCAATCTGGTGTGTTGAAGGCAGGGAAACTCGTGTGACTGTTGTAGCAGCAGAATTTCCTTAGTGGCAAGATGCACAATGCAAATGTTAAAGACGTCGTCCCAGGCCAGGACCGAGCCCCGGTGATATGTTTTTTTTGTCCAAACGAGCGAACTTCTTGGCTCTTTTTTCTCGATGCATGATGCGGCAGTACCCTTTCCCGTTGGCAGCCAGCGTGAGCCCCGCCGCCCCGCCTTCGTCGGTGCGCCCCCCACCCCCTTATTTGAAAATATTTTTTCGTCGGTGGTATAAGATAGATGCAGTGTCCACAAGATATCTATCTCCCCGTCCAACATCTATTTAGTCTACATTGAAACCAAACATCCGATAAAAAAATTAACTCCCACTCTTAACCGCCTTTGTTTGCGGCGGCACCCCCTACGACAAACACCTACCCGCGCAGGAGGTGGCTGTCGACGGCACAACCGTGCTTCGGAAGTCTGGCCCTTCGTGGTTTGGATTCCGAAGGAGTGACTCGTCGTACGAGCTTCGGGTCAACGAGGAGGGGATCGTGATCTCCCGACAGGGGAAGTTCGACTGGAGCGTCAAGGTTGAGGACATACTGTAACATGTCGCCGTCTTCGTCGTCGTCCCCCATCGAATCGATTTGTCAACTTCCTTCGTGCTCTTTGCATCCCGTAAGGGATCGTAGTGCCCTACTACCCGGGCTGCTTGCTGCAGTCCGTTGGACGCTTGTTGTAAAGTACCACACATGCATGCTTATTTTCATCCCGAAGGGATCGTAGTGTGCTATCCAGATCTTAGTTCCTTTTTGAACGCTTAGGCAATTGGTGTCCGTGCCGTGGACCAAAGGAGTAGTTATTGTCAACGTTAGTTTTCCTTTTGGGCCGTTCTATGTGTGTGTGGGTAGCTTCCCACAGCAATGCCCCCGTTCAACACGCGGAGGAGGTGGTGATGGTGCTTCCTTGTGCTTCCGGCGCTGTTTTTCGCATTTATTTTCTGTTTGTTGACTCTTGGCGTCGCTGCTTCGTTCGCTTTCTATTTGCTTCCACGCGAATTTGTTGGTGGTTTTCGATTGTTTCGGCGCAGGAACCGTACTATTTACTACTACTGTAGAAGCCATCATGATGTGCCTTATATTGGATTCATGGTCTCTATCTACAAATAAATTGGAGAAATAAATTTGTACCAACGTGACATCGAATGTTTTTGAGCTCGCGGCTTGCGAGATGGGATCAAAGACACCCAGTTCCATTATCACTACTGTTATTGTGCGTGAACGAATGTTCTTTCATGCCACACACCTCACCTTGAGAGGTGGGTTCGCTGGAAACGAGCACGAACACAAAAAATGAAACACGCCGTGGGTGCGAGCCATTTTCCTGCACTGGAAAAAACTTATATTCGTAAGATACAGCGCACCCACGCACCGAAGTTGCTACACCACAGCCCCACTTTTTATCCTCCTTGGCGGTCATGGCTCGTTGAAATGGCACCACATGCCGTCTCGGAGGTGGATGTGCCAGACTGCCATGTGTGTGGTTCATGTGTTCGAAGTGATCCTGCCTGCGGCTGGCCGGCTGCCGGGCGGTGATTCGTATTAGGGGCACCGCGCCATGAGAAAGGTTGACGGGGGTATGCTGTTTTATCTGTTGATCCCCCACTGGCCACCTGGAACCGCACACCAGCCAGCAGCAGCACTAGGGACGACGAGACACGATACAGGCAGCACACCGCGGCAGGACAACTGTCGTGTTTGGAAAAGAGGGGAGGGGACGCTAACGAATGTCGCTCAAAAAGCTGCCGGAGCTGTGCAGAGAGGCGTCGGGAGGAAAGCTCTCGCCGTTGCGTGACCTGTTGCGGTTCTTGCGGAAAGAGAAGGTGAGAGAGGTATGGTAGATACTGCTGTAGGCCGCTTGAGATGACCTTACCCACGCAACGGTCGGTCGGTGCAGAACCAGCAAGCAAAAGCAACCCACCTGGATGGCGGGGAATGAATGAAGGGAACATATGTGGTTGCTCTTAGGTTCTTCGAAGGCCAGAAAGTGCGTCGCTTGTTCGGTGTCCTCGTTACCTCTGCCCAGTTGTGTTGGGTCGATGATCGGGTCTCGTTATGGTTATGCTCGCTTACAACGAGGGCTGCGAGTAAACGGGAGGAGCGTGTTGTACTGGTGTGTAGTAGAAGACTGGCGTGTGGGCTGGGTTTCTCATACCACACACGATTGAAATGCAATACAAAGTACCGATGTGCGATTTCTGTCTCCCGATGTCTCTGATCCAAGGCGGTAACTGCTGTCTAGCCTGTCTAGCGACAGCGCGGTGAAGGCTGGCACTCACGCATAGCTCTGTGATGGCTTGACCATGCTGGGGCAGCAGGGCTGAAGGGGAGACCGAAGGTGTCCCAAAAGGCACACCAGCGTATAGATGGGTTGGGGGCACTCCACAGCAGTACTGCTGCTTCGAAGGAAGTATGAGAATGCGTACACTATTTTTGCAGATGAGGTTACAAGTATAGGGGTAGGGTCAGCAAGTACGGTCCCGCCTGCCGTTGTTGGGTGGGAAGGTGCACTTCCATCCCCCCCCTGCATCTACCAGCGACAGAAAGAACGAGAGAGAGAGTCTTGCACGACCCGATGAGCAATCTAGCCGATGTGCATTATTTTGGAAGGAGGTACCTTTGCTCTCTCCAAACACGAGACCTCAACCAACTACAATTACCGTTGGTGTTTTGAGCGCAGAATCTGTGCAGCAACGACGCTGTGGAACCGTCTACCGCAGAACACGCCAGCAGGGAGAGACAGAGCTCCCACTACACATAGCCAAACGGGTGCACACGCCCATACTACCATCGCTACCGGTACACCCACCACTCCCACCACACCCACCGACATACCGCCACACGCCGGATTAGTCTACATAGTCCCATTGTCAACCGGACGCAGAACTTGTCATTGCATCCCGAGATCAACTTCGGGAGGCATTGTGATGTCAGTGGTCTGTGTGCCGGGGGCCGGGGGTGAATTCAAGAATGAGCCAAACTGGGGAAGGCCCGTAGAACTTCTCTACCAGGAAGTGCTACATGCTTCTAGTTTACATGGTAAACTTCACGACAAGACCTATCGAACCTTTCTTTCGCGGACGGCGTCGTATGGATGCGACATGGTTTTTTTTTCGTGGGAGGGGCACTGCTGCTGTCTCCAGATGATGCTCTGGGGCCGTCGGCATTCCACGGAGAGTCATACGCTCACGCACGACCGCTCAAGAGTGTGGCGATCCGGGGGGTGGGTCTATGCTTGCACGAGGACGCCACCGAAACGTCTTCGACGACATGAAACGAAAGCTATTTGAAACTACATACTTGCAAGCAGAGGGCGCTTTCGAGCCTCGCGCCTATTCTGAGATAGCCCGGGGAGAAGACTCGTATGTACAAACGTTTTGACATTTTCGACCGTTTCGTGCGATGCGTTCCTCCGCCGTTGCCCCGCCCGTGTGTCGATTCTGCTTCTGGCGGTGGGTGGTATCAAACCATGGCACTGAACTGCCGAATTGGCATGGCACGTACGCAGATACGGCGGCCAGACCTGTGCCTCCAGTATGGCAAGCAGCTGCTCACGTACGGGCGAAGCCTTGGGGACGAGCTCTGGGTAATCCACGAGCAGGTGAGAAGACGTTCACTCCCTTTCGTTCATAACCATGAAAACAAAGCAGTACCACTGCTGTCTTTGCTGCGATGAGATTCATGCATATTCGTATTTCCATTTCAACAACCCCCGGGTTCATACGTGCTCCTCGAAAATTCTGTCAGCAAGGGAGATGAAAATTGTTGCACGCATTTTCCGTCAACGATTCCACCTCAAAACGGCACGCCGCAGACGGCAAGCCATCTCCGACGCTGACCACCATGCCCTTATTCTCGCCCCAGGCCCTAACCCCCACCGCGTTCTTTTAGCTGTGATGACAGCCCCCAAGCCCTGACGCTACCCGTTAGCCTCGCCACCAACCCTTCTCCCTAGCCCCAACCGCGTGCGTTTTATTGATGACAGCCCCGACGCCCTGACGCCAACCCCCAACCCTTGGGTTCTTCCACCAAATCCCGAACCCCCACCGTGTTCTTTTAGTTGATGACAGCCCCAAGCCCTGGCGTCACCCGTTGGCCTCACCCCCTACTCTTGCCCCTTACCACCCTGAAATTCGCCAGATGGTTACCGCGGCGCTGGATTCGGGGGACGTCCCCACCGCGCACGAGCACCTGCAGGTCTTGACGCGTAAGTTTCCCGGGAGCCAGCGGGTGCGGCGGCTGGAGGGCATGCGCTGCGAGGCGGAGGGGAGCTTCGCAGCGGCGGCAGCGATCTACGAGGAGATGGTGGAGGCGAACCCGGCAAACTCGCTCGCCCGCAAGAGACAGGTAGGTGTTGTGCCAGAAGGGGGGGCAGGCGTTAATTGTCGGGCTAGGAGGGGGGAGGGGGTTATGGTGTTGCAACAGACAGAGGAGGAGGCATTTTTTTTTTTTTCAGGGCGGGGGTATAGTGTTGCGGAGGAGGGGGGGGGGGAGTAGCGGTGGTGGTGGTGTGTGCTGCTACGGCTGTCGTTGGGGAGTGTTGGGACTGCGACTTTGTGTTTATGGGCACACATCGCCATTTCGCTGAGGGGGCACTACAAATACTGCCTCTATTTGTTGGTTCAACAATGTCCCCTGGGCAACGGCGGTGACTAGCACCACTTCAACGAATAAGAGTACGGACGAATGGGCTAAGGAAAGTGTGGGTGGGGTTAGCATCGGGGGTTTTGCGTTAGCAGTGTGCAGCAGACGGAAAGGCGTGACATGGCGGAGTTTTTGTTGGTGTAGAGTTTCATTCGTGTGCGGAAAAGAGAGCGGGAAGTCGAGGCATTGAAGTGAAAGAAAAACGTCGATGATATGGAACGGGGGAATGGCGACGCGGTTTACCGAAGTATTTTTTTCTCATTTTTCCCGCCTCAGGATGCATTTCAAGAGTTGTTTCGTCTTCCAGGTTCCGTCTGTAACAACCCAAACGTTTTGGATCTGTCTCTACCGTTAGCATTGACCACGCTTACCGGCTGACCAACTAAGAGCGTCGCTCTCTCAGAAAGTATGGCTGCAAACGGAAACTCTTGTCCCATAATGCCACGATTCTCTCCGTGTGTGCGCGTGTGCCTTTGACATTAGAGCATCGACCCCGCCAATACCAGCTGAGCAAACCCTATGTGTGTGTGTGGCAGCGCGTGCCACACTGAAAAATCTTCTGTAACGCGATGACCTCTGTGTGTGTGCGTCTTTATTTGAGCATCGACCTCGCGGTATCCGGCCGACGAAAGCCTACGGTGTGTGTGTTGGAACGCGCGACACCACAGGTTGCGGTATTGATCGCGAAGGGTGATACGGCGGGAGCGGTGAAGGCCCTGAACGGGTACCTGGCGGAGTTCGCGGCGGACGGGGAGGCGTGGCTGCAGCTCGCTAAGCTGCACATCGGCGCCCTCAACTACGCGGTGCGAAGGGGGGAAACATTTCTCTCTATCTCTATCTCTATCTCTCCCTCTCTGTCTCTCAATCGCTCCATCTCTGTATCTCTCTGTATCATTCTCTCTCTCTCATTTCTCTCTCTTTTCGTCTCTCAAACATGTACACACATCTTTCAGCTTCGGATAAAAACCTCTTCCGCGTTTTTTTTTTTAATGTTCTTCTCTTGAAGGCCGTCGTTTTCCTACAATTTATGTTCACTTTCCCTTGATGCCTTGCAAGGGGCAAGTCATTCTTGGATTAAATTGTGTATTAAAGAACAGATCCAAAACAGGCGAAGTCCTTCGGCGACGTTGCTGCACACAGCAGTTTAGGGCCGTCAATTACGCAGGAAGCGCTGGCCGGCAAAGCAACCTTCCACCTTTTGCCCCGCACGTGTGCAGGTAGCTGAGATTTTGGCTTGGTGCCGCCACATCCGAAAGTTTTCCCGACAACGGTCGACTTTCTACCCCCGACTTGCGTTGAACGGTTTGCGCATGGCGGTATCGATGTGTCTCTAAGGCGGGCGTTGTCCGTGACTACCGTAGCTGTGCGTGTTATCGCACCCATCGTTGATTTCGCACCCATCAGTGTTATGGCATCGGGGTGCGCAGAAATATCGAGAACGGCATGATTTAATTGCATGTCCGCACCGGTATATCGGTGTCAACGCACCCGGTGCGATATCACCGATATATAACCTGCTTAGGACGTAAACTTGCGTGCTTCCGCAAGGTACCGGTACCCTCTGGCCACGTGTCGCACTGCTTGTGTGTAACGAACGGCTGCGAGGGTCCGGTAGGTTTGCCATTCATTTCATGTGTGTATATCGCACCGTCGAGGTTTGCGGTGTAAAAGATTCGTGTTTTTTTTCTACAGCAGTAGTCCGTACACCGAATGCACTCACTCACTCAACCAAGCACACAGGACAATCCCGCACTTCCAACCAACCGAACAAGAAGGAGTTCGCAAACGGTACTACAACTACCGGTACCATGCCCCTTCAGGCAAACAAAGACGGATGGAAACACCAGCCAACAAATGAGGGGTTTGTGACCAATAAAAAAGAGGTTGGAACAAAAACGATACCGTACCGTATACCTTTCTCAGCAGGGAGCCACACCGTCTGTTGTCTTGGGCACATGCTACCCCAACACTCGCACCAGCCGCTTCATTTTAAGTACCGTAATACCCACAATTACGGTACTTTGTGCCAGGAAACGCCTGTGTTCGGTTCTTGAGTGTCGCACCTATCGGTGTCATCGCACCGGGGTGCGTTCACTCAGTACCGTGAAATGTTCACGGTGATTTCTTCCGCATCACACCTATCGGTGTCATCGCACCGGGGGTGCGTTGGAAATCCAGAACGAAATGATTTAATTGCATTTCCGCACCGGTATCGATCGGTGTTATTGCCTCCATCGGGGTTATGGCACCGGGGTGCGATAAAAAACCACGTAGGAATGATTTTAAAAACGATCGCACCTCGGTGCCATAACGCGCACAATTACGGTTGCTTACCTTGGGACTTTACGCTCCCCTTTTCCCGCGGGGCAAACGGTAGCACGGCTTAAACGGAAGGCGGTGGAAATCAAAAGACAAAACACCACAACAGGAGAAATACACGGGAACCCAGACAGCCCCTTCGGCATAGGCAAAGGACTGGAGGCGTGACACGACCGCCGTGCTTCGTCTCGACATGCAAGGTGTGAGGGCGGGTAGACTACCGCAAGAATGATTAATGAATCCTGCCCTCCGCTGCCGCTGCTTATCCCTTTGCTGCGGGCAGGCTGCAGCATTTTGCTACGAGGAGCTGGTGTTGGTGGCTCCCTCGGACCACGTGGTTCACTGCCGCCTCGGGGAGGTCTACTACACCATGGGAGGCAAGTCGCGAATCCGTATTCGCTTCGTGTACTCGTGATGCCTCAGGAGTGGGCTCATGACGGCACGACAGTGCCAAAAAAGGGGGTGATGTTGCAAGATGACAACAAAATCGGGCAGGTTATAACGTAGCTGGCTGCCATCCGCCAGTTGGTTGTGATGTTTCCCAAGCTCAGCAGCTCTCACGCAGCCGACATGCATTTGACTCGAAGAGCCCAGCGAACCTCAATCGAACCAAGAAACGAAAAAGCTCTGTGTACGAGCAGTCTTGTGGTATCGTGTGGGTTGATGTTGCACCGCCACCTTTACTCTCTCACTTGTGAACTTGTGGAGTGCACGAGTGGTTTCCCTTTTCCCACGGGGAAGAGAGGGCCAGCGCGTCTGCTCTGATTGTCCTGCGCCTAAATAACGGATGTAGGTTCTTTGAATAATTCTTTGCCCTTCGACAATGGCAACCGCGGCGTAACTTGTCAGACCCCCCCCCCCCCCCCCGGCCGAAAAACTCACGGCACTTCGAGCTTGGTGATGTGAGAGTCTGGTCCGGTGAGAACCCGGCGTGCTCCGTCCCGACTTTGTAGGGATGCGAGGTTCAATGGTCTAACGACTACGACATGCACGGCGCTGAGTACCACCCCACCCACCCACCCCCCTGGCCCCCCGCCCCGTCTTTCGGCACGCGAACGAGGAGCGGAAAACTTGATGCGTGCGCGAAAACACTTCTCTCAGTCGGTCGACTTGCTCAAGGCCGGCAACGCGCGAGGACTCCACGGGCTCTGCCAGACCTGCGCGTCTCCTGGCTGCGGTCAAGGTGAGTCCGGGGAGATGTCCGAATGACAACAGGAAGTGTTTCTGCGATATAGTAGAGTTTTCTGTCAAGAAAGACAACAAAACATCTTGTGGAGGGGGTGTCCGCGGGATTTTCCCAGCCTGCGCGTCTCCATCTAGGGTTTTGTGGCAAGCGGGGAAGAAAAGTGAAGGCACGTTTCGTGTGAGGATACCCCCCTCCTGTTCTCGTTGCGCCGGGGATGTTTTGCTCGGCCACGCATGGACGTTGAAATCGGCCACATGTGGACGCCTCGGCAGGCAGGCAGTGTTACGATTGTTTTTATTACATACACACCTCGGATTGCATTTTCTTCGCTGCGGTGCGCTTGGAAGAAGAGTGCTCTACATGATATCACACATCTCACAGATCTATACTCTGTGGAAGACGCTCCTCCGGAGTGGACTCATCAGAGCATTGTATTAGTAGTGTCACAAGGCGTGATGCAAAATGAAATTTAAGCATGTGTTGGTGTGAATCATCATCTGGCACATGCATCAGTGACGTTTCCCAAGGTCGAACAGCTCACACAGCTGGCGTGTTTTGGACTGGAAGAGCCCAGCGAACTTCAGCCAACCAAAAAAGAATAGTTTTCAAATCTGTACAGAGGCTTGTGTATGCGTGTCTGTACTTCATGAATGTACCCTATCCTGGCCCTCCACGTTAGGCCTGGTGTGTTTCCATTATGGGGGTGCCGGCAAACAAGAAGAACGGTAAAACAATCCATGCTCCGCTCCAGGCCCCGCTCTCGGTTCCGTAAAAGGGGGTGCAGAAGACGAATTTTGATGTTGACCAATTTTGAAACCAAACGCAAGAGCACCAGAAATTGCACAACAGACACACCAGACCAGTAGGAAGGCACCGCGAAAAGCAGCAATCGTTGATTCTCGCACAGGGCGGCAGTAGAAGCTGCTCAAAACATTCATTTCATGCGTCTACCTCCACACGCCTCCTTTGAAATCAAGATAAAAAATTGCACCATTCTAAATTCTAGTCAAAAGAGCCAAAACGGAAGGCGCTCAAACAAGGTCAATTTTGAGGGTTGACAGCAGTAGCTGACGACCCGTGATTCAGGGGTTTAAGGTCCGTGGCGGTGAGCACGGCTGTGACAAATGTTGGATGCCGCTTGGTTCCGGCGCAGATTTCGGACAGTTTTTAGAGGCTGCTGCGACGTTCGATATTTCAGCTCCAGTAGCACACCTGAACGTGCCAGCACACACGACTCCTCTTCATGGTGTCCTCTACTGATGACAATAAAATGCGACACCTAACCCTGGCGGGAAGGTTGTTTTCTTTCTTTGTATAGGATTAAAGTATGGGAAAAGAGCCAGCGTCAAAACCCCTTTTCTGCACCCCCTTGTAAAGAGAAAGGATGCAACTTCTTGGCCTCCCAAACTGGCCAATCCTTGCTATCGCTGTCTCTGAGTTCACCTGTGCTACTGTTGAGTAGTTCTGTTATTTCACGCTGTCCAGCGGGCCTTCTCCTTGCACATGGAACTCTCCGAGAAAGTGACCACTCCAGAGGACTCTCCCAATCTGATACCCCGAAACACAGGAACAAAAATGCCTCTGGCAAATTCGACGGTTTCAATAAACGGTAGTCTGCATCGGCTAAATCTCTCTCGCCAAACTTGCTTCTTGTAATACTTCTCTCCGATGAAATTGACGCGTAGACTTCGAGCAAGAAACTTACTGGCAAGGAGGCGGAGGTTAACCAGGCGCTGCACCTGTTCGCGGCGACGGAGCTCCGCAAGGCGTACGGTGCGGGGGACGGTCAGCTTGCCTCTCTAGGTAAGCTGGGTGCAGCTGTTTCTGTCGTTGTTGTTGTTGTTGTTGTTGATCTGAGGCCGAGGTCAGCCGGATGCAGCTGCTTCTGTTGTTGTGTTGTTGTTGTTGTTGCTCTGATGCCGACGTTAGCCGGATGTAGCTGATTCTGTTGTTGTTGCTCTCATGTCGGGACCTGATTGGTCCCGGCCTGTGGCATGGAGAGTTGTGACCAAGCTGTGTTTCGTTGCCCCCCCCCCCCATCAGGTGTTTTGTTATCAATTTTCTACCTTTGAGCTCGTTGGTTTCTCAGGTGTGGTGGGTGCCCAATATCCTCCATCTTAAGCCCTGATTGAGCGTATCAACAAAAAAAAATAGTCATACCGTATGTGGGCCCAATCGCCAGTTGTATGTTGGAAGGCCCAAGGGTACTGATCGAGCAGTACAAGTATTTACTGGTAGTGAGACAGTTTTGCGGGCAGTTTTGCGATGGCAATTGCGACTGACACAGCGCCCGATATCCCTGCCCTTCCAACGTGCATCTGTTTGACTCGCGTGACCGTCACCCTACCAACCCTAACCTTGTTGTTGTGAACACGTGAAAGACGATTCAAGACCATGTCGTCCGTGAAACTCATGCTGTTCTGTGGAAACGAAACCGCCCCGCCCCCCCCCCCCCCC